GTGAAGGGGGTGAGAACGACAGCGTGGAGTGTGAATGGTTTTCATGAAAGCCGCTCAAAGGAGCACACCAAATGGCATCGAAATAGGCACGGTAAAAATTGAAAAAAGGAAAGAGTGATAGGAGGATATGGGAAATGTGAATAGCCCAGGGCGTAAGGGGAGATATCACAACTGTTTAGCACACGTTTGGTCAAAGGATCGGCTTCACCATTCTCTTTGACGAGCTGTAATATGGTGCTAAGAATGGTAAAACTCACTGACGATGCCGGCGAAACGTCTGGGAATGTACCACGTGAACGGTCCTACTATGGGAATTATGATGCATACAATTGACTCAGGAAATGGTGAGTTCCTCTAAGTCTTCCTATTATCGATATGGAATTTAATTGCCCAACTGAATGCCATGCAACTCATGGGCTTACATGCATGTCGCTTTTGCTTTCATAATTTTAGATGTTTTATTTTATTTTGATGATTGAGACGTGCCTTTGCGCTCATAGGAAAGTAGCGTTACTATATTTACAACCCATGATCACAAAAACATCTTTAAATTGTTAATTTATTCCAGAGGGAGATAAGTCTATCGTCCGACAAACTATTTTCTCTGATGGTTCTGCTGGAATATAGTAAGCTAGATTAAGCTAATTTGGTAGAGCTAGTTTGGATTGAGATTCATAAGCCGCAACTGCCTGGTTTTTAAAATCCGGATAGATTTGAGGTCAAAATTGCACCCACACTATCGTCTTTCTCTTGTACAAACTAAACGGGTTGAAGATATGAAGACCAAGATGTTGTGGCCTCTGCTATGGTCGCAGTCTCCTTTCGATTTATGGAAGTGGGTTGACCTCGTTGTCGCAATTTGGTCTTGTCAGGGCGACTTAGTAGAACGCACATAGTTCAAAGTCGTCAGCCATGATAGTTGTCATGATTCCCAGCATCAGACAGTGGACTTGGTACCCTCTTACACGTTTCTCCGGCATCATAGTCGGCATCATAAGTGAGTTTTGCTATTCTTCGCATCAAGCTACGAACTCGTCAGAGAGAGAGAGTGAAGTCATTCCCTATAATCCCACTGTAAACAAGTGAGAAGTTGTGCTAAGGCGGCAGTCGGAGAAGAGGGTAAAGAGTAGATAGATAGGCCAGGACACAAAGAGGAATGATAGTCTAACCGTTTTCGGCACAACGTTTGTTGAGGGAATGACTTCACTTGTCTCTCTGACGAGTTCGTAGCTTGATGCGAAGAATAGCAAAACTCACTTATGATGCCGACTATGATGCCAGCGAAACGTTTGAGAAGGTACCAAGTCCACTGTCTGATGCTGGTAATCATGACAGCCACTATGGCAGACGACTTCGGATTAAGTGCGTTCTACTAAGTTGCCCTGACAACAAGACCTAGTTGCGACAACGAGGTCAACCCATTTCTATAAACGGGTTGAGTTAATATATTCTGTAAAATTGAGTTTTTGGAGAATCTCTTGCCTTAGTATTGCCATACAAATTTTCGCTTTTAGTAAAGTATGGAATGAAGAGATTCGAAGGTTGATCCAATCTTAAGAATACGACTAATTCTTCTTGGCCAACTATCGTTAATTAACTGGAGCGTCCTGGTTGTTGCTTTGCTATAAACAATTTAATTCGGTTTCGTTGTTAACGTGGTATGCTTTCTGTCATATGATAGGTATTATTCTACATACTCTTTCTTTGCTCGAAACCTATGGAGTTATATGGCTCCTTTCTCATGGCTGTACTACATTTTGGATGCTTTCAATTGTTATTTATGCCTTGGCACTTGATTGTGGTAAAATTTAACAATTAAGTTTTTTTCTAGTTAACTTCGTCTTTACATCTTAAATTAAAGAAAAAATTTTCTATATTCGTCTTTAATAGGGCTTGATTGTTTCTGACACTGAGTATGAGCGCTCGTCTCGCCGATTTTCAACTCTGATCCGGCGCCCGAAAAAAAGCAGTTCTACAGTTGGCTCGCTTGGCCGCAGTTCCACTTTCGCCTCCTCTAGAGGATCTCATCAACTCCCGCCTTCCACAAACAGTTCGATTAATCTACAAAATTCCTACAATAGGCAATCTGGACTTGTTGAACCAATCCGTAATGGCTATGCGACTTTGCCTCCACCTTCATTCAAAGGCTCTTCTCCTCGAGACACGTCTGTATACGATTCCAGGCCGAAGTCTAGCTCTTTAGGTAATTGATATTTTGCAATTTTATTCGACCGAATTTTAGTCATTCATTTATACTCATCCCCGCACCTGTAATTCGGAGCATATTTATTCTTTACCAGGTCAACGGCTAGCGATACTTTCAAGATCATGGGCAATATGTTATTTGAATTAATCTGAATTGTGTAATAGATATCGATAATATTAGTTCATTACATTAGAATAATTTCGAATACTAAATATTTGTTCTCTAGCTGTCTAGCAACACCACCATTTTAAATATAATTTGCTAAGGTGGTATACTTGGCTATTATTTTATCCTTTATTTTATAGTCATCGCATTGGAGCCTCTGTTACTGCATTAAACAAATATTGATAGATTAGCAAACTGTTAGCATGGCAGTTGGGGCGTTTTTAAAAAATTTGTTTAAGAGAGTCATTAAGGCACAAAGCAAAAAATGTTAATAGAGTTTTTCTAGTAATGAAATCGTTTATGTGGACTAAACCGTGAGTGTTATGGGTAAAGATGTCTTTTTGCGTTGGCTATGCTTATATTTTTTAGCATTATCATAGTTCCCTTGGCGCAATTTGGTACATTATGGAAATAAGGCAAGAATAGTGACTGCGTTGGTATCGGGTAATAGCAAATTCAGGCCTTGATGAGCAATGGGTCAGCCATCAATTCTAGTTATATAAGCATTTATCGCTTTTACCTTTCTTGTGGTGTAGGTATTTTCTCTGGCAGACCGCCTAAGAAGAAGTCGCGTGTTATCTTCCTCATCGACAGCCTGGTATCTGGAGGCCCTGCTGACCAAGACGGACGCATTAGTGTTGGCGACCGCCTTCTGCGTGTCAACGATCGTAAGCTGGAGAAGGTTTCATTTGTTGAAGCCATAGCTGAACTAAACACCTCGCCTTGCGGAGTGCCTTGCCTCTTGGTACTCGGAAAGATGAAACTGCATACCAATCGACGCATCGTAGATCAGGCAATGAGTCTCCAGGTCCCACAATTATCCTTTTTGTTATTGCTTTTATTTCTTCTTTGACCACTCATTTTTATTTCTATTTTATCTTAATTTTTTAAAATTAATATTCTTCTTTGTCTTATTTTGCCTCTTCTTTTTTTTCTTTTTTTTCGAATCTCGTATATACTTAGCATAACATTTTGTTCTTCTTTCTGTTCTCATTTTCTGCCCTTTTTTTCGTTTTAAGCTCTTTCCTTTTACTTTTTTGCCATATGAATATATCTGTTTCATTTTATTCATTTTTACTATTCATTGCTCTTAATGTAGCTGAAGTAATAAACTCACTCATTTACTCAGGCGAAAATTTGCGTCCTCATTTTGGATAGTATTTACTTGTGTGCTGTATTAAAAAGATATCTAGCGCCTCATTGAAATTATAAAGAGGAACTTAATTTTTAAGGAATAATGTCTTGGCCTTCCAGCTTATCCTTGCCAATCTCTGCATTAACACCTAAGCCACAACTCGTCTTGTTTTGCGGTGCATTAGCACCGCCTTGTTAGTCTAGAGGATTTCATCTCTTACTATTTTAGTCTGTTATTGCATTCGGTATCGCCATTTAAGTATTTCAACGGGACTAGTTATTAACATAAAAGTGTATCCGTCTTTGTTTCCTTATTTCTATCTCTTATCCAATGTTTACTTATCCACAATCCTTGCTTTAGAGATTCAGCATCATAGGCTAAACTGTATCACTTGGATTGTATCATACGTTTTAGTTGTCCTGTATATAATGTGCAATGGACTCACTCTTCCAACCTTTTTCATCTAGGGTACCGAATTTGTACCCTTGTTCGTATGGATGCACTCTTGTCGTATTCCGCTAATTTCACCTAATTTGATTTACTTTGGTTCCATTAATTATTATGAATATGTGCATGAAAGTCTGGACAGGAAATTATTTATTGACCTGGACATCTTTTATCTACCTACTTGCTATCTGTATTCGCATTTCCCTCAATGGAGTACGGTTGTTTATATGACAGTATTTATAACTCTCGAATTCTTAAGTCTATTTTGGAGGGTGTTGCCAACCTGTGCTGAACTGACTTCCATTCTTCAGCTCAACGAATATATTTGTACTTCTGTACCGGTCGTAACTTTGGCTGCCTTGCCCCTATTTGATATAATTTAGTCCATTTTACTGTGTAACACTAACTAAATGCACAGTATCTAGTATCCTTTCTAAATAAATTGCGCAAGGTAAGGCTTATTGGTTTCCTTCCTTATTCTGTCACTTAATGATTTATTTTTCGTATTTAGGTAGAGATGTATTGACCCTATTTCGTTTAAGGTGATGATTGTAAATGACCTAATATTGTCGCAATTATTAAAATAATTCTTTTTATTCCAGCAGTAAGGCTAAATATCTGCATTGACTTGTATTCTATTATACATTAGCCATCTGGTGCAAAGAATAGAAGCTCATTTAAAAGTTTAACTAATCTACTCACCCCGAAGCTGCTGTGGCTACGCGATTGTACGAAACAAATGTTGTGTGCAAGAAGCACACGACCTACTTGGACATACTTTTGCAACGACGCTATAAAACATCCGCTCTGTATGATTATTTTTGATCATGCTTTCTCTTTATTTGTACTTTTATTCCCTTCAAAACATATACTTGTTCTAAATAGATAATGTACTATTTGTCTTGGATTCTTCTATAGTACTTAGAATATTTAAAAAATCTGTCTAAATCTTTGAGTTTCCCGAGTAAATGTTAGTTTTCTATCAACTAAAAATGTGTCACATTAAGCGTGAACAATATCTTGTTTATATAGGCTTCCCTATTCCCACATAAAATTAATTTTTCTTTCGAACATTAAAAATACTTATGGTCCTCATTCTTTTTATATAAATCTTCGAGCTTCGAAAACCGACTAGTTTCCTTTTGCTATTCGTTGGTTTCTCTGCATTTATCTCCAAATCTTTATAGAGCCGTAATTTAAAAACAATAATTCTATATTTCGCAACTTGGTCACATTGGTAGAAATACCTAGTGGACTGCACCTAGCCCGGAGTCGATAGTATGCATGATAATTTCCCGAGTCGGACCTTGGACGTGGTACATTCCCAAAAATTTCGCCGGCATCGCCATTGAGCTTTGTCATTCTTACCACCACACAATAACTCGTCAAAGGGACAAGTGAAGACGATCCTTTGATCAATTGTCTGGTAAACATTCGTGGCATCTCGCCTTCCGGCCTGGGCTAATCACGAATCCTATATCCTCGTTTCACGTCTTCACTATCACAATTTTTACTTGCTTATATAAATGTCATAAGATGTGCCCTTTTGATAGGATTTCATGAGAACACCCTTCACACCACATTGGCTTTCCACCCCCTCACACCCCTTCAACTTTGTGCTGGGAATGCTGATCAATCTGCCATATTGTTACACAGTCCTCCTCCCAATAGGTCTTATCAGAATCTCCCTCTTACCCCGTAGGGTTCGTCTGCTATTTTCCTGGTTCAAGTATTTCACTCGACCCCTACCACCCCATCTGTGCTACTCGAAGCGTTCTTTTCCACATTCTGCCTCTGTGAGACTAACTTAAGGCTAAAGACCTTCAGTGATTCTCATGGCTAAGACTGCTTCATGGACCACGGCTATGACTAAAAACGTCTACTGTTAGCTAACTAGCTCTATTCTTCGCCGCGTCTATCCTGTTTCTTTCCTTTATACAAAGTCGATGACCTTCTATACTCTAGTAACTTGTATGCCATCCTTCATATGTTGCGGTTCTACTTGTTTAGATTAGGTTCCGATTAGGCAGATGTCACGAATGTTTAGCAGACAATTGATCAAAAGATCATCTTCACTTGTCTATTTGACGAATTGTGGTATGGTGCAAATAATGGCAAAGCTCACTGACGATTCCAGCGAAATGTCTGCAAACGTAGCGCGCCAACGGTCCGACTCGGGAAATTATCATGCATACTATAGAATCCGCACTAGGTGCATTCCTATACGTCTTCCTGCCAATATAACTAAGTTACCAAAACATGGTTAACAACTTCTACACAACGAATGAGACTGCGACCATACAAATGGTCACAATATCTTGGTCTTCATACATTCGATTATTCGTCATTTTATTTGATTAATTTGTATTGTCTTCCTCGTTCTATTCCAGAGACTCACTACAGTCTCTTCACTCTCCAGTGCTACTCTGCCCAGGGCATCGACTCGACCTATACATTCTTCCAGCTTTTCCAACCGGCAACCACACTCTGCGGGTCCTTCACCTATTGCTAAGACACCAGATCAGGATACATTGGATTCCCGTGTATGTTGAACCTTTAGCTTATTTTCGATGAAGCATAGCCACTTTCAAACTTTCAAATAACGCAATAATTTGTTTTAACCATGATATCATTAACTGATAGGTAGATCTTAGGAGTCATACTGCAAATGGTATGAAGGGAAGGAGATTACCAGTAAGTTCCTTTCACGTTTTACTTGTTATTTATCTGGTTAGGTCAAGCCCTCGATATAAACAATTTTACTGCGTAGCCAGTTATAATAGATTAAGTGTCGTAACTTCCATCAGTATGAGTAAACCTCGTTCTTCAGCTTGTAGGTTTAAGCTAAATTAATTCACATTTTATAATCATTGCTTCTTGTAAACAGGAATAAGCTTCTTTTTTTTACCAACAAGCTAGTACAAATGCTATCAATCGAGATTAATCTTCCTAAGCTTCACTTGAAAAGACCTGAAAATCATAGGAGATTAGCTCTCCTCTTTACAAATGGTCTCTTTCGAGCTTTCATTGCAAATGTCTTTTGAGCTTGTTGAGTTTCGGTTGGCCCGTGGCTGCAACAAAGCTCATGTTAACAAAGGGAAAAACTCAATATGATCCATAATATGACTTTCGTCGCCTCCCATTGTTCATCATTCCTCCCTACGATGGTTTTTATTTCATTACCAGTCACAGGAGGAGTTGAGGTTTCTACTAATGTCAGTTCGACTGTGCCGAGCAGTTTAATTCCAATAAAGATCCTTTCTTACCTCGTATTCAATAGAGAATAGTGGCGGATATTAGAAATTTATTTGCCACAGATGCTTTACTAGTGTAGAATCTAGGCTTTTCTAAGTCGTAATAAACTCCTGTTACTTCGTCTTGATAAGCTTCTGTGCATCTTTTTTA